GATGGTCGTAACAATTTGTACTCAATAATGGGGACTTTTTTATCTATTAATACGTCGGCATTTGGCTTTGTCACTAGAGAGACTCAAATCCGACCAAGCGCCGGTTCTCAAGATTTCATCAGATCATTTTTTCCTGAGTAGATCCCACATCCATTAACAAATCAGTTGGGAAAATGAGACGATTTTCCAGTATTTCTTCCAAACACTGGCACATTTCTCTTAATATTCTCTTAGGATTGGCCAAAGTTTCCTAAGAATCTATTTGGAAATACTTCAGCATTGCAGACAACTTTGCTTTTACCTTTGAACCGATATGGAAGTTCTTCTTCGGCTAATTAGGAAGTCCATCAAGGTTTATCTAGAAAGTACTAATAGTTTTTGCGATAGTTTCATTCATTTCCCACATGTGAGTGAAAATGTTAGCCTTCTTGAAGCTTCCGCTTAATGCCTGAGGAAAAAATACGCTCTATTGAAATGGCTCTTAAAACTGATCAGTTTTTGCCATTTCCGAGGCATAAGCTGCTGAAATGTTTAGGTTTTCCCAGCTCTTCTCAGGTTGGCAATTTTGCCGGACGCTTGAGGGGAGAAAAAATGCTCAGATCCTCCATAAAAATGGCCTGTCAATCAGATATTTTTACCGTTTCCCGGTCAAAAACTTCGAAAATGTTTAGGTTTTCCTAGTTTTGCTTCTATTTCTTTTGAGGTTAGAAAGTTTGCGTGATGTTAATATGCGAGGGGAGAGGAAAGTCCCATATTGTTCCATCGAAATGGTTGCTGGAAAAAGCTCCTGAAGATTTTCGTAAAGTTCGACCAATTCCGAGTAATAACTGAAAATTGCGCAATATTTCAGCAACTTTTAGGTTGTCCATCTAGGGGTTAGAAAATTCGCCTGGTTGCAAAGAGGCAAAAATGCCCCTCAAAACGCTCAGCCGAAAAGTGGTTGATGACTCACCAGGATAGTCTTCACCATTTCCGAGATAAGGGCGGTTTTCGACTTTATCGTGACCTTATTTTGGCTTATATCTCTTTAAAGGTTAGGAATGCACGATAACCCCTAATTGTCGAAATACAGCACTTAAAACCCTCTATCTGAAAGTCATTAGGCTGATTGAGATGGTTCGAATATTTGCCCAGATATGACCTTTTAAACTGCGAGACGTCCTGAAAATTGACATTTTTGTAAATTTTTGCTTTTACCTCCATACACATTAGGAATCTCTAATAACACTCGCAGCGGAAGGCAGAGTTACAGAGGATATTTCGAGCCCTTTCGGAGATATAAGGAGTTTTAGACCCCGCTGGTGCCCGAAAGTTAGTGACTCTTGCTCCGATAACTTCATAAGTTAGCAATAGCTTAAGACCATCAAAAAATGCAATTATCTGTGATAGAAGAACGAATTTAAAAAGTCCTTGTTTCCGAAAACGCCCCGTTTTTAGGGAATTCATCCCCATGAAGTCCCAAAGAGATAATTGAATTTTCTGTGTGATTAATGCAGGTAAAAATGACTCATCGCCACCTTCAAAAGACTGATCGCGCTTTGCCCTTAAAAGAACAAAGAAATCTGAGGCACGACCGCGATTTTGAACAAAAACGCCGATCTCGAGAACTTTCTCACAGGACCTTATAAAACTGTAAGACAGAACTAGAAAAGAAACCAACCCGTTGTCATAGTTGGCTGAGTAACTTGGAGCACGTCGCCGCATTCTTCCTCCTCGGCGATTCTCCGTCTTTGTCGCCCTCCTGCGACCTCCGGGTGGTAGAAGGAGAAGGGCTGATGGTAACGTTATTCACTTGTTTAATAACCCCGTGTGTCGTAATGATGCTCGGTCATCGCCCTCCATGGTGATGCCTGTTGCATAGTGAACTTTGATTGCTTTGACTTTTATTTTGGTCGCCTAGAATTTCACCAGTTTTTTCTTTCATCGACCCTCTAAGAAGCACATATGGAAGACTTGCAGAAAATGAAGAGTTTCGGTGAAATCGCTCCAAGGAAACAGCGACACGAAAAGACACAGTTTCCCACAAAACAGTTCGCTTGTGATCTACAAGAAGATAATTATTTTCAAGCCCTTTAAGATCGAGCTCTTTGTGAGCAACCCTCCCAGGCACAGTTCATGGAATGTTATTTAACAGAACTGTTCCGTCATCCTCAGCCTCTATGCCCCCAACATAAAAAGCGAACAAAGAAGTACCTAAATAAGTCATTTGTCATCTCGCAGAGGAAAAAACTGATGAACATCCCTTGCTTTAGTACGTGGGCAAAGGCCCTCAGTTCTCCCATTGGTGCTTGCCAGTACTGGGGCTGCGAAAAGATCGAATTTCGTTTGCGATTTTCCTCACGGTTTTACCGCCCGAGAAACTAATCAAACCACATCAACTGAGCGGAAACTCCTATAGAAAACCCCAGAGTAAAATGGGCCGTTCCACCAGATCCCAGACTATTAAAGTGATTCCATAAACAACCGAAGAAACCCCCCCAGCATCAATCTTAACTGGTTTCTCACTCGCCCCATGTGGCAGGTCAAGAACCTGTCTTGCTGAGCATCAACCCCATGGAAACGCTTTCGTTTTTTCTTTCTTCGGATGGAACGAGAATTCGACTCACAGGTGGATTTAGGGTGTTTGTCGTCACCCTCCGGAGCTTTGTTCAAATACCGTCACGCCCCCATGGTGTCGATGATCGTTAAATGGTAGTTTTGTTGATATGTTAGGAAAACACACGAATGACGAATGTGAACAGGAGGAATATTGGCTGGTTGGAAGACAAATAGACATCGATTCTCATTTGATCAAGGCGAAAAATCTGAGGCATGGAGAATTTTTGCTTCCTCTACCATCCACTTGCTGTCGATGTGTGAATAAATCATTACCTTCTCAGGAAAATGGGGAAATGATGCAATCGAGCGAAATTAAATGCAGAAAAGCGAATAGTATACAGGGTGTTTGTAGGTTTTGGCTTTTACAAAAGGAGGATAGCCCACTTGCTCTAAGAACGCCTGCCGGATTTTATCGACAGAGTCAAACACCCGGTATATTTTTCGGCATCAGTTCGGCAATATCACACACATACACAGGATGGTTTAAAAAAACATTAGGTAGGCACAGATGGCCTGTATGATCACCTGATTTTCACCCGGTTGAGTTGTGTGTTTAAATGCTTGTTTAGGCAAACTTTGCGTCGTTTCGGATTTGGAATCTTCAATCAACTTTGAATCAATGCTGAGAAGTTTTTCAAGAAGAGAAAGAGGCGCAAAAAATTTCAATGGGCCAGATTTTAACGATTTTAAGTTGAAAAAACCGCGTCAGAAAATTGGCCTTCTAAGTTCCTCCGAAGCCATTGAACTGAAACCACCAGTGGAAAAATGAGCTGCATTTCTTCACACCACGCTCTAGGATGGTCCTTAAAGTTCGGTAACAAAGTGCATCTATCGGCCGATGACCCGCAGAATTGGGTTTAAAACGGGCACTTGTTTAGGGCAACAAACGCCATTCATTTCCCATTGGATTTGTTTGTTTATTGCAACTTCCTGGTGGTGAATCTTCCTTCAGTCGATCGTTCAATTTACGCAAAAGTTGCATGTTTTCCTCGGCTATAAATTCGCTTTTTTCTGGTCCCAAGAGAACCTAATGTGAGATATTGCGGTCCACCCCCACGTCGTGTCAAGATGCAACAAAGCAAACCCACCCAACATATCACGGTTGAAAGTAAACATACAAATACCATCGCGTTTGTATCGATATTTCACCACCGCAGGCGTCTTCAGGGGGTAGTGCCCTTGTTATTCTTTAACACATCTGGCACACATCGCGTATCATTTCGGTTTTCTAAGGTCGTCGAACCTTTTTTTATCAAATTTTAATGCTATCTCGGGCTAGTGTACATAAATAAAAACATGGGAAGCACTCGGGCTGTGTTCAGTAGTTCAGTAAGCACTCATTTCGATGTGGGAACGTCTTGGGGAACCAATAAGTTCTCTGGCTAGAGCTGGAAAGTCGTAAAAGAATGGACTTTTTGCAGACATTTTTTAAATGGCTTCTGTCGTGACGGGGTTTCAACAGGTTCTTAAAAGAGAAAAGACAGCACAAGACGCTCAGAAATAGTTGGAGGCAGCGGGAGTAATGGAGAACCATAATGGAGGCATGAAGATTCAGCTCCGCAGCACCGCAAAAATGAGAGCGTGGGTTTTTTTGAATTTGAACCCACATTGGTTGTGTTTCTCTCACACTTATTGGATAAACTATGAGAACTTGTTGCTACTTGGATCCTAGAAGCTTTCATGAGACCTAGAGTTTTCCTTCGCAGCAAATCAGCCCTGTGTGGGAATATGTTGATACCAAAACCGGTTTCTTCGTGAGAGAAGCTCTTATGTAAAAGACGAAGCTAATGTGGGCTGAAAATGCTTCCAACTGCTTCCAGCACGTTTTCATTGCAACAATTCAGCAACCCTGACTGGTTTAATGTGAATTTTCACGATTTCTTTTCATGCCGGAGTGATTCTGGGTCAGCAACCAAAAAAAGTCGCTTCCATTTCCCTACCGCTTGCCAGAGCGCCGCTAATTCTAGCAATTTACCAAAAGCAGGTTCTTCAAACTTGACACTTGGTTAATCCGAACAATAAACAACGTGGAATCAGCGTGGACGATCGTTGTTACGTAAGTTTCAGAATTCTTTCATACAAATACCATAAAGAGGGTCTACTTAACTGAAGGCGGGCCACCAGCGCCCGTAACGTTCCAGGCTCGCCTCACAAACCATTTTCTATGCAAATTTTCTATAACATAGTAGCCGGACAAAGGATTCAATGGTCTTTGAATTATTAACTTTAGACAGCCTAAGTCGGCTGATAATTAATTGGTTCGCACAGGACATCAACCCAGTTGACTAACTGTAAATTGTCCTTCATTATATGGGCATTTCTACGGGAAATTGGTCAGCATATTTCGATTTTCTGCATTATGGTGTTACGCGAAACGTATTATTGTTGCCGACATCAACGGCGATTAGTAGGAAATGTTCTCTTCGACAAATAAACTACAAAGTGCAAATCATCCAAGAATCCAGTTTTTCCAGCTGAATTTTCTGTCCTGATTTCTCCGTTGAAAACTGTGTGGTTCTCTTATCTCCATAGTGGTATGACATTTTCTAACTTATTTACTACTCGAAGCGGAAAGTTTCTCCCTAGGTACTGAAAAACCGCTTCAAAAAATTCTTAAAATCCTTAATTTGCATTAGCAAAATGCACTTGCTTAGAGTAAAAGCGCCTGGGAAATGCACTGGGAGAGTGGCCACCAAGATATCCAGACTTAACGCCACTTGATTTGTTAAGCACTTAATTTTCCGTTTCTAGATTCTCGGATATTTACAAAAATGCTTTGCTTCCCGTGATGATTAATTTTATTTAAATGTTTTAGTGGCTTTTCGAGCTTTTGATAGAAACATCCGGCTGCTAGTCTCGCAGGCCTTGCTTGTAGCACCACTAGCGTGCAATGAACTCGAATGGAGGATAAGCTAAAAGTGGACTTGACTGTTAACTCTTCCTGTGTCACAGATAAAAATATGTATGTAAAAACACGAAAATAGCCGCAAGTCTTTTTTTACCCCACGTCGACACCTCCACTAGGAAGGTATCCGATTAAGGGGGCTGCGCTTTTGCTCGTATCGGATTTTGTATCCTGTGGGGGCGTGATTGGAATAATAATAAAAATCCTCCATTTTCAGCTAGTCGCTGTTGAAATACTTTTAAACTCGCTGGTGCATTCGAGCATGAGATTCCCATTTTGATTGGGATATTGACTGGTTATTTAAAGTAATTAATAGTAATTGAACGTGATTATTAAGTAATTAATTTCTTCTACCTGCGAGCTACTGAATGGCAAAACAATTAAAAAATTGCCTCTTTAAATGGCCACACAAATTGCATTGATGCGGAATTTCCATAGCAGCCATTCACTTGAATCGGATGAATGAAGTTCGAGCAATCGGTCACGTCCCAAAGCCGAAAGAGTTCGAACTTTTCATATAAATCAAAGCGACAATAAGGCGCTAAATTTAAATTCGGATCCGTTAACCCACTAAATCCATTTGGCCGAGCCGGTTTTTCCACAACTTTGGCTCCCAAAATCCCGAAATAGAATCAGCCGATCGCGTTCTTATTGGTCTGGATGAAGTGGATTGATTCTCAATTAGAGCATTTAATTCTTCCGCTGTCTTTTGTTGACTAGAGAATATAAAACTTTATTTATTATACGGGAATAAGTAGCTGTTAACACGACGCTTCCTTCAGAGGTCTCAATTTCTGAACATCTAAGTTAGTTCTCCGAATGTATGAGCAAGTGTTTTGGACTTTTTAATGCCTGTTCAGTCAGCCAATGATTTTTGGCTGAAATTTGAAAAACCTTTCCAGTTGTCTGCGTATTTTGTCAAACCTCTTTGCCCATAGTGTCTGACGACAGTTTTTCTTGAAGATGCTTATTAAGTGCACGCTCCGGCGATTGTTTAATTTAAACTCTTCTTTCTTCAATGCTTCCAGGACAAGCAATCAGTAGAAAAACCTGATTTTTGGATTACTTTCAATCCATCCCCTACGTTTTCTGCAAAATTTATACAGGGTGGCCATTTGCTGAATCTTTATATTGGTAACTTGCACATTTTTAAAGATCCGTTAAATAGGCAAGATTGGGCATTAAATGTTTTGAATGCGAAAGAGCTAACATGAATTTTGTCATTTTCATCAAAAAATGTTTTCCCTTACTCAAGCATAAAATAAGCTGCTCATTCCCATAACTTTCCCAGAATCCCACCCATCTAATCAGGCAAATAATGGCCGCAATTAATATTCGGTAAACGTGTTTTCTAACAACGATTGTGAGGCCAACCGCTTCCGATTAGTACCCAAATGTTACTTGTTTGGCACCCCTTAATTCGACCTTGTTCGCATCAACTGGTAGGTGTGACACAATCAGCATGGCCACTTTAATCAGTCGGTTTTTATTGCGGAAAGTTTAAGGTGAAACGATCAATAAAGATGATGGAAAAATGTATGGCTGTTTGCCCTTTAATTTGCTATCTTGAAGGGAAAAGTGCTCAATCGTTTTGAAGAATTGTGGGTGTAAAGTCGGAGGATTTTCAGCCCGACGAAGGATCGCAATTTTTGGGATAGCAGAGCGATAATTGGCCCTTTAAAGAGGATAACGTCTCAAATCACTGTTGTGCAGATTTGACCCTCTGAACCTTGAAATTATCGATTCATCCGAAACGACGGCTTGTTGAAAGGCTTCATTTCTTTTTTTTTTCAAATTTTTTTTCAAAATTTGTTAGACAAAATCGAACAGACCAAAGTATCGAACCAAATTATGTGGAGTTCACAGGGTCAGGTCGTCAGCCTGAAGCGTAAACTACTGACGCAGAAAGGTGCGGTCTTCATTGTCATATAATCATCCTACTCGACCCGATTGTCCTTATTTAAACCGACTAATTAAGTGCGATGGAGACTCAGATTTTGTTTTCCCTTTCCAGCCACTCTTTCGAAACTCATGGTATATGGATGCGTTGTTGTTTAAAAAAGTCTAATAGCAAATGTTTGCAAGTAATTGGTAATTGCTGCTACCAGCAGGATTATTTTTGCATCGGTCACGTAACGTCTCCGAATGACCCAATTAGCCAGTCCATTGCCGCTGATTATGTTACATTAGTTCTTAAACCGCCACTAATTAGTTAACAACTTGCGACTGGAAGTGGGCCCCACATCGAAACTATGCATAGGGTAAGTTCTATGAATAGACTTTGACCTGGTTAGATCGAGTGTTTTACAAGTTTGCCATCCTGCTAAGCAGAGAGTCGGTGAAAATGTGGTTTCACTGAAAATTGCCCGACCAGATTCTTCACAATATCAGCATTCATTTTGCACACTCTGTATAAACCAGTTAATGCACAAAAAACTAACAGTGTATTTCTGTTGGTTCGTCTCCTATTCTTTCTAAATATCTTTCTCAAGATTCCAGTCAAATCTACATTGTTTAACCCTCACTTTCCTCCTCAATATGTCCTCATTTCAGGCAGTTTTCTTGATAATTTGCGCCATTCCATGCGTGCTTAGTTCAACAACCATCAGCAGCGACTTGAACATTCCAGCAACTGAAGCGGTGCTTCAATCGAAAACAGAATCAGTGGTAAGCAGCGGTTTGCCACTGGGAACTTTTCCCTCATTTGCACCTCTTGCAGGAGTCGGACGAAATCGCTCCGGAAGACACGCCGTGCACTTGTGGCGTCTTCCTGAGCAGCCAGTTCAAGAAAGGCTCGAAGGACCAGCCCAAAGGCGATTCGGTGCTGACGCAGGAAATCGATATGCCTTTTCCCAATAATGCTATTGGAAATAAACAGTGCACGCACAGATGTTTGGAAATGGTAAGTGTTTGGAAAGTGATCTTCTTTTTTGTCTTCTGCCTTTATGAGAACTGGAGAACTGAGCCGAGAGGCGCGTATTTTACATTTCAAATAAAATATAGAGCGTGTTTCAAAAACTTCTATAGGAACTATGTTGCGACCTTAAGAGGGTTTTCAAGTGCAAAAATTATGCAGAAAAAAACTGTTTTTTGTTTTGCTCAATTGGATTCCTAGATTCATAAGCAGAATATTTTCTCTCATAGGAAAGTTAAGCGAGTTTGGAAGAAGAACGAACAGTCAACCTTTCGTTCAATTCAATTTGAATTCAGCTTTCAATTGCGCTTCTAAATACAAGTCGGATTCACAAGAACTTTCTGGGAAAAATTGGGTCGACTGAATGTTCACCCAAAAAAACCAAAAATATTCTACAAAAAACCTACTTTAGCTTTAAAAATCATCTTGTTCAGAGACGGTGGGAGAAGAACCAACAGATCGAATTTTTCTTTTGCTCTTCTCCTGTCTTGTTTTGCATTATTTGTGCATTTTCCTTTGCCAAAAATATTCCGGACTTGCACAAATTTTCAAAGATTTTCAAGTCTTTATCAACAATTATTAACCGTAGAAAAACCAATTAAATTATTCAGTCCTTTATTTTCGGTTTCGATTGATTGTATTCATCTATTTTTACAATTATTTTGCCAAAATTTCAACCTTATCATTACATCTAGTAAACGCCAGTAAAAATCACGCGTTTTTCCAAGAAATATAAAAAAAACCCTTTCTGAACAATGTTAAGAAAACTTCCTGAATTTTTGTTAACTCGTTAACCAGTCCCAAATATTTCGGCAAAAAACAGCGCAAATGTCCAATCACCCTGTAAACGAAGCGAAAAACACCACTTCACTTCTTTGTCCTTAGCACTGTTCATTTGATAGACGAAACCCCGATACAAAACAAGTGGTTTTAACCCTTAAGAACAACAGCAAATCACAATCAGTGCAGGTAGAGCGATGAAGAAAAGGGTTATTTGGCGCCCTTCATGAATAAACAAATTGAAGAACCCCGATTTCGTGAGAACTCGCATTGTCCCCCTTTGGGTACGTCCGTCCGGCAATTGTTTACGGTCAGTAGGGTGGATAATGAAATGCGTTATGGGGGCAAATTACTATGGTGCTCCCTTCGGTAATATGGTATGATGGTCAGGTGGGATTTTTTGCTGTTTTTGTCGTGATTTTGTTATGGAAATTAGCACAGGTGGATATAAAGGGGCGGTGACTGACTGACCATGAACGGGCTGATTTTACCGGCGTTCTAAAACCAATTTCTTCAACTAACATGATGCTGAGATCTACATGCATGTTGATCCCTTAACGAGCCAATCACACACACCCCACATGTAAATCTGTGGGAACATTTAGAATAATGCCCAACGTCCGGTCCATAAATGGTCGCAGGTCATTCAAGGGTGTAATGGAATCGTTATGAAGGGAAATTGTTCAATCGCCACCCTTCCGGGGGTTTTGTGTTGCTGCTGGTCAGGTGTGCAGGCGTGATTTTTACGGTTTGCGTGGGAGAATGTGATCAAAAACGAGGTCATGAATGGGAATTATCAGATTAATCTTCAGTCCTAAGAGGGATGCACAGAAGGGCACTTTGCTTTTGGTAACAGAATTGTCCTCAATCCAGAGCATCCGGATTTAATTCAGGAGAACCGGATGGTTTTGTGTTAGGAAATAGAAAAATCCTTATTGTCTTCCTCCTGGTGTTTGCTCTGATCCTTTGACTGTCGTGGTCTTTTTTGATCTGTTTTTTCAGCTCTGATTCTTCCTGACTTTGTTGTATGCTTGAATTCCTATTGCCTCAATGGATGTTTTTCTTGTATGTAGAAAAAATACAGTCTTCTGTTGTTTATGAACTTAGAAAAATGATCGTCGTTTTGTGCAAGGGTGGCGCAAAATTATTGCAAAATTTCATGTTTTCCGTCCCGTTTTGCATGTTTATCGGAAGCAAAATTAGCAAGAACGCTCGTTTTTACATCATTCCAGAGATAACTAAATGGCCTTTATTCGAAGTTTCTCAAGAACCATTTGAGCCACAGAATTCGTTTTG